AACAACGAGTGGCATAAACATAAAAAACTCCGAGGTCCGCGCGGATTTCTCGGAACGGCGCTGGACCCCCCTCCCTGGCACGCGGAGCGCGCCAGTGGCGGCGCCCGAGGCGTCGCCGGGGGGCCCCAGCGCCGATCCGAGGAATCCGCGCGGACCTCGAAGTTGTTATGTTCATGCCACCTTTTGTTCCCTAATTCACAGCTGCATATGGTTGGGTCCTTCGCCAGGCTAACTGTTTTACTACCTTGAGTACGACGACGTTTAAGCCTTGGCTCGCGGGGCGCTCGGAGTCCCTGCACCCAATGCGCACACACACAGAGAGGAAAAGCGCCCGGCAGGACCGAGGCCGGCTGCATGCGACGGATTGTGCTGCCCACCCTTCGGGGGCCCAAAGAATATACACCACCACCACGTCGATTCCTCCCCTCTCCTCTTTCCAGCGAGAGGGAGGGGGGGGAGAGGAGTGGATGGTGGTGGTGTATATTTTTGGGCCCCCCCCTTCCTTTTCCTATTCCCCCCCCCCCCCTTGGCGTCCGACCCAAGACCTCGCTGGAGATGGCGAAGACGTTCGCACATCGGCATGTGCAGGGGAACGGAGACTGTGACACAAACATAGAAACTCGGAGGTCCGCGCGGATTCCTCGGATCGGCGCTGGACCCCCCTCTCCCTGGCGCGCGGAGCGCGCCGGGGGCGGCGCCGGAGGCGCCGCCAAGGGGCTCCAGCGCGGATCCGAGGAATCCGCGCGGACCTCCGAGCTTTTATGTTTGTGTCATTCTTCGTTCCCCTCTTCCTTTTCATGTCCCCCCCCTTTGCGTCCGACCCGAGACATCACTGGAGATGGCGAAGAGGTTCGCACATCGGCACGTGCAGGGGTGCGAAGTTTTCATGTTTATGTCAGTCTTCGTTCCCCTAGTGTCTATATGTATGCTTATGTTTATGTCATTCTTCGATCCCCCAATGTGGGATCGAGACTGAGCCCGACGAGACAGACGAGGTGCAGCTCGCGGCGCGCCCGCGCCAAGCTGCAGACAGGGAGAGCCCGCGCTGCGCGCGGCGTGCCGTGGCTGCGGGCACTCTCTCGCCAGCTTTCGCCACGCCACGTAGGGGCCCACGCTTAAGTCGGACGTGTCCCCCAACAGGTGGATTTAGGGCGAAAAATTAAACATACTCCAACAAATACTCCAAAATGGTACATTTTGCATCGAAAATCCCCCTGTAGGGGGACACGCCCGACTTAAGCCCACGCCTCTGCTCCTTCCCATTCTGGTGGCAACTCACAGGAGCCTCCCACACCATCTTGTCGGCTCCTGCGAATCGACGCTGATCGACGCTAATTCGACGCTGCATCGACGCTGGATCGACGCTAAATCTGCGCCACCTCATCGACTCCCACACGCCAATCGACGCTGGTCGACGCTGACGACGGAATTCCGAGGGTCTACAAGGCTCCCACGAGTTGCTGCCGAATGCCATGGCTGGTGACACTCTCTCTCGCCAGCTCGCCACGCCACGCGAGGGCCCGCACCTCTGCTCCCTCCCTAGAGGCCTCCTGGATGGGGTCGGAGAAGATGGGGTCGGAGGACTGCGCCGCATCGCCGATGCATGGGCGACGGACTGGCGATGCATCGGCGATGCATCGGGGATGCACCGGCGACGCATCGTCCACGTCGGAGATGCATCGGCGACGTTGGCGTGAAGCAAATCGGGCTGCACATCGAGCCGCATCGGCGATGTATCGGCGATGCGGCACGATCCTCCGACCCCATCTGCTCCGACCCCATCTAGGAGACCTAGAGTTAGGTCGGGCATGCAGCCCTGCAGGCTTTGGGCGAAAACATGAAAATATGTTTGAGGCCAAATAGTAAAAACAATTAACAGATCATCCGCATATTATCATTTTACTATTCTTATTTTTCAAGTCGAGGGACGTGCCCGACGTAAGCCCAGAGCCACGCAAGGGCCCGCACCTCTGCTCCCTTCCCATCACGGGAATGGCGCGAGCTATACGCAGACCAGGGCTGGACCTAACCGGTGTTGTTCGTTTTCGTTTTGTTGTCGTTGTTCATCGTTCTGCCTCGAATTCGCCTGTGCTGCAAAACGACATCGAAACGAAAACGGCCCACGAAATCGCCAGAACACCGGTTAGGTCCACCCCCGAGCCTGGCCACACCCGAGCCTGGCCACACCCGTCCCGGGCCCAGGACGGGGGCCCGGCCAGGATCGCCTCGCTGCGCGCAGGGGGCGCCCTCGTAAATCTGGCGTCATCCCGCCCTCCAAAGCTGGAGCCGGCTGGCTTTTGGACGACAAGGGAAACATACCCTGGAAGTGCTGGAACAATCATGAAAAAAGCAGTCGAAACATCGCCCCCAGGCTATATCTTTACTATGTTTTGAATCTTCCTCCTGTAGAGGGGGCACGCCCGGCTGAAAGCTGGAGGCCTCCGAGAGGGGGGCGGAGGATCTCGCCGCATCGCCAATACGTCGGCGATGCATCGGCGAGGCATCGGCCAGGCACTGGCGACGTCGGCGATACGTCCGCGACGTCGGCGTGGAGCACATGTGGGCCCCACATCGAGCCGCATCGCCGATGCATCGCCGACGCATCGGCGATGCAGTGGCGATGCGGCGCGATACTCCGACCCCATCCACTCCGACCCCATCTGGGAGGCCTCCGGGGAGGGAGCAGAGGAATGGGCCCCTGCGTGGCGCGTCGATATGGCGAGAGCATGCCCACAACCATGGCATTGGGCAACTCGTGGGAGCCTGGTAGACCCTCTGCATTCCCTCGTTAGCGTCGACCAGCGTCGCTTCGCGAGTGGGAGTCGATGAGGCAGCGCCGACTTGGCGGCGACCAGCGGTGGAGGACCCACGCGGTGGAGGAGGGCAGGAGGGACGCCGGGAGGGCAAGGGAGAGAAGGAGAGAGCAGCGAGAAGAAGCGAACGCGGGGTAGGATCCCGTGAGGCTGTCCTCTCCCGCGTCTGTCCTCCTGCCTTTGATGGCCCTGCCCAACTGGTGAGAGAGGGTCAGCCTGAGCCTGCTGCTTCACCCTCTCTTCCTGCTCCTCCTCTTCCTCCGTCTTTGCTCCTCCTCCCCCCCTGAAATGTCTGCTCCGCCCTCCTCGTCCTCCCGCTCCTCTATCCTCCATGGTCCTCCCTGGTGCGAGGAGATCCACTTGTCGGGTCACGGCTCGGGTCTCGAGCGGCCGTTCGGGAAGACAGTGGCACCCCCAGGACGTTCTCGGTGGGGAACAGCTGCAGGGACGTACACCAAGGCTGGGGCACCTGCGAGAAACGATGACGAAGGCGTCCCAACTATTCGGACCACAGCGCGACGACGGAGTGCCTAGAGAAACAGGACAGCTGCAAAAACGGCAGATTTCTGACCCCTGCGCGAACTTCTTGGATCTGCGCTAGGCCCCCGTTAATTTTATGCAGTCTTTTGTTCCTCATGACACGCCGTCGAAGCGTCTCCGCTCGATGCCTTCTCATCGATGTCGTCGCGCCGTCGTGTGAAGCCACGCCGTCGTCGCGTCGTCGTTCGTGTTCAGTACGCCGTCGTCCGAAATGTCATGTTTATGCCGTTCATCGGCGGCGAGCGAAGGGGGGGAAATGAGACGAGGAAGGCCTTCTCAGAAGGCGGCGGGACTCCTCAGAATCCCTCGCGCCTTCTGAGAAGTTGCTGCCTGTCTTCTGGGGAGGCTTGGACAACTTCTCGGGAGGCCCGGGGGACCTCGGAACCTTCTGAGAAGACCTTCTCCCTCTCACTTCCCCCCCCCCGCTCGCCGCCGAATTCTCGGCGGTGGACTAACCTCCTCTTAGGAAACCTCCCCTTAGTGAAAACGGCCTGGGACCGAGACCGACGGACCTGGGCCCGCAAAAATGACGGCCGCGACGCCCTCTCGCGAACCGAAAGCGGCCAATTCCTTCATCGACGTGTCAGGGTAGGCCTATCAACCTCCGAAGCTCACGGGTCCCGAGCGGCGAGGCGACGGCGGCGAGTCCAGCGGCGGCGGCCCGCCCCCCAACAATGGGGGAATGAACAATGGCAGGAACATAAAAACTCGGAGGTCCGCGCGGATTTCTTGGCGCGCCAGGGGCGGCGGCGGAGGCGCCGCCAGGGGGCCCCAGCGCCGATCCGAGAAATCCGCGCGGCCCTCCGAGTTGTTCTGTTCCTGTCATTCCTCGTCCCCCTGCGAACGGCGAGGCGACGGCGGCGAGTCCGGCGGCGGCGGCCCGCCCACAAAAAGATGGGCCTGTTTTCCACCACCGCCACCATAAGTTGGAGGAGGAGGAGAAGGCGGAGGAGGAGGACGAAGAGCAGGAGGAGGAAGAGGAGAATCAGGAGGAGGAGGAGGAGGAGGAGGAGGAGGAGGAGGAGGAGGCGACGGGGGCTCGGAGCGGCGGCGCCGCAGCCGGCGCGTCGTCGTCGTCGTCGTCGTATGCGTCGTCGTCGCCGCCGCCGCCGCCGTCGTCGTCGTCGTCGTCGCAGCCGCCGTCGTCATCGCCGCCGTCGTCGCCGTCGCCGTCGCCGCCGCCGCCGCCGCCGCCGCCGCCGCCGCCGTCGTCGTCGTCGTCGTCGTCGTCGTCGTCGTCGTCGTCGTCGTCGTCGTCGTCGTCGTCATCGGCCCGCCCCCAACAAAAACCCGCCGGCGGCGCTGCCATGTCCGTCGTTGGACACGGGCATGGTCCCGCTTCGTCCAGCCTGACCCCTGAGGCGTTCGGGGAGGAGGAGGAGAAGGAGGAGGAGGAGCAGCAGGACGAGGAGGAGCAGGAGAAGAGGAGGAGGAGGAGAAGAGGAGGAGGAGCAGAAGCAGGAGGAGGAGAAGGATGAGGAGAAGGAGCAGGAGGAGGACGAGCAGGAGGAAGAATAGGAGGAGGAGGAGGAGGAGGAGGAGGAGGAGGAGGAGGAGAAGGAGAAGGAGGTGGAGGAGGACCCCCTCCTCCAACTCATGGTGGTGGTGGTGGTGGTGGGAAACGAGCCCATCGAAAAAAAGCCCCGCCGGCGGCGCGGAGAGCATCTGGCGGCCGTAGCGCACGGCCCGCCGCAGAATCCGCCGCAGCACGTAGCCGCGGCCCTCGCTCGAGGGCTCCGCGCCTCGCGCGGCCGGAGCGGGGAGGAAGGGGCGCCACGGAGTCGAGAGGAGGGAGGAGGGAGAGAGGAGGGGCGAGGAGGAGGGGAGAGGGAGGAGGAGGAGGAGGAGGAGGAGGAGGAGGAGGAGGAGGAGGAGGAGGAGGAGGAGGAGGAGGAGGGGAGAGGAGGAGGAGGAGGAGGAGGAGGAGGAGGAGGAGGAGGAGGAGGAGAGGAGGAGGAGGAGGGGGAGGAGGGGGAGGAGGAGGAGGAGGAAGAGGAGGAGGAGGAGGAGGAGGAGGAGGAGGAGGAGGAGGAGGTGGAGGAGGTGGAGGAGGAGGAGGAGGAGGAGGAGGAGGAGGAGGAGGAGAGGAGGAAGAGGAGGAGGAGGAGGAAGAGGAGGAGGCAGAGAAGGAGGAGGAGGAGGACGAGGCGGATAAAGATAAGGATGAGGAGTGCGTCCAACAGCTGGGCACTCATGGGAACCCCTAGGAGAGATATGGAAGCAGGCCCCGAGTCCGCTGCGTGACCTTCGGAGCTGCCTGGGGTGCGGCCGTCCCCGCCAGGAGGAGGAGGAGGAGGAGGAGGAAGAGGAGGAGGAGGAGGAAGAAAACGTCCGCGCCCGCACGCCAGGTCTCGCACTGAACCGCTTTTCTCGGGCAAGCAGATCGAGTCACCAATGCAGCCTTGTGACAAAGATATCTGTGACCTCTTTCACGGGTTAACTTTCCCAGAGAATGCTCGCGCTTCGGGCTTCTTCCTTCCTGCGCTAAGGGAACTAAGCCCGGCTGTCGGCCGGCCGGCTCCGTGGTCGCCGTCGCCACCCCGTCGCCCCCTCGTCGCCGCCCGTCGGCTGGGCCTCGCTGTCGGTCTGGCGGCTCCGTGGTCGCGGTCGCCCTCCCCTCGCCACCTCCTCGCCGCCCTCTCGTCTGGGCCTCGCTGTCGGTCTGCCGGCTCCGTGGTCGCCGTCGCCACCCCGTCGCCCCCTCGTCGCCGCCCGTCGGCTGGGCCTCGCTGTCGGTCTGGCGGCTCCGTGGTCGCGGTCGCCCTCCCCTCGCCACCTCCTCGCCGCCCTCTCGTCTGGGCCTCGCTGTCGGTCTGGCGGCTCCGGGGTCGCCGTCGCCCTCCCCTCGCCGCCTCCTCGCCGCCCTCTCGTCTGGGCTGTCGGCGCCCCGTCGCCGCCTGGTCGCCGCCCGCCGCACGACCCCTCACAGCTTGCGCTGGATCCGCGCTCCCAGAGCTACGATTTTTTGATCTGCGGGGCGAGAGCGAACCTCTTCCGCTGAAAGCTAGGCGGGCTACGCACAGCTTTGATCAGGGAGACGCGTCCCAGAGCTACGAACACTTGCAAGATACGCTGCACCCCCTCCGTCCCGCAGCCGCTGGCCCGGGCGCCCGGAGCGCCCCGCCGAAGACCCCTCCTGGTGAGGGGTTTTGGGGCGACGAGGGAGGGGCCAAGAGAAGGAGGGAGGAGGAGGCGACCGCGGAGAGGCATGATGCGGAGCAGGGTGGAGCGAGCGAGCGAGCGAGGAGGGGCGAGGAGGGCGCGGAGGAGGAGGATGGACGAGGAGGAGGAGGAGGAGGAGGAGGAGGAGGAGGAGGAGGAGGATGGGGCGAGGAGGAGGGGCGAGGAGGAGGGGCGAGGAGGGGCGAGGAGGAGGGGCGAGGAGGAGGAGGAGGTGGTGGAGGAGGAGGAGGAGGAGGAGGAGGAGGAGGAGGAGGAGGAGGGGGGAGGGCCCTCCCTGCGTCAAGCACCGTCCGCCACGGCCACCGTCAGGCAGCGGGCGTGGTCGACGATGACGCGGTACGCCATGTCCCGCAAGTCCTGCCGGCCGGCAGGGGCCGCTTCGGCGAGGGGCTCTGGGAGGGGAAGGGGGGCAGCAGCAGGAGGAAGAGGAGGAGGTAGGAGAATGTGGAGGATGTTTGTTGTTTATTGTTTTTTTGTTTGTTCTCTCTCTCTCTCTCTCTCTCTATACATATATATATAGACACACCTATATGAACAAGTGGCACCTGCGTGCCCAGGCCCCTATGTCGTGTGCGCGTGCTGTGTGTTGTTTGCATGCGCGCTGTATTTGTAGGTTGTGTGAGTCGTGTGTGTTGCGTTCTATGCGTGTTAGGTGTGTCTGTGTGTGTGTGCGTGCGTGCGTGCGTGCGTGTGTCTGTGATCGTGTGCGTGTGTGTGTGTGTGTGCGTTGTGCGTGTTGAATATTTTGTGTGTTGTCTGTATGCTTGTGTGCTCTGTGCTTGAGGTTGTTGGTGCTGTTGCCGTTGTTTTTGTTGTTGCTGGTGGTGCTGTTGTGATTATCGTTGTCGTTGTCGTTGGTGTTGGCGTTGTCGTTATCGTTGTCGTAGTCGGCGTCGTCGTCGTGGTCGGTGTTGTTGTAATTGTTGCTGCTGTCGTGTGTATGTGGGTGCGTGTGCGTGTTATGATGTGTTCCTGTTGCATTATGTGCGCTTGTGTGTGGTACGCTGGAGCTCGAATGTGGGGTGTAGCCAGCGAAAGTGCATTGTTCTAAGCATCGCGTTGAACCAACGGGGCTCGGTACTTGGAGGATGTCGCAAGTGAAGCAAAACGTTCGAAGAAACGGGCTGAACATCATTGAAACTCATGCTGTATGTTTGAAGGTGGTCTGTTATAGAAGTTATATGTTTGAATCGTGGCGTCGCGATCTGCGTGAGGGGTGCGTCGAATCCTCAGGAGTGTTAACATGTCGCGAGCAACACGGCCTAACAAAAGGAACGCGGCTTCTACACATTGCCTCTGAGCTCGACTCCTTCGGAGAGGTGTGTATTATGATGTAAGTCACACAAGACACACGCACACATGTACACACATCTGTACGTGCGTATATATATATATACATATATAAATGCCGATGCGCATGCAGACGAGGAGAGAGAGAGAGAGAGAGGGATGGAGGGAGAGAAAGAGAGAGAGAGAGAGAGCGAGAGAAATCGGGAGAGAGAGCGAGAGGGAGAGGGAGAGGGCGAAGGAGAGGAGAGAGAGAGAGGGACGGAGTGAGAGGGAAAATAGAACAATAGGTGTATATGTTCCACAAATGTGTAAATAGGTGTGTGTACATATATATATATATATGTGTAAACAGAGAGAGATAGAGAAAAAAGATACGAGAGTGACAATGACCGTAGCAATTTGAGCTCAAAACCATGAGACACCCGACGACCGCGAGTCCCTCGTTTGCGCTTCTGATCGCGAGGGGTCTCACGCTTTGGGCCAAGCAACGGTTCTCAAACGGCGGTGCCTCCTGACAGTGTGGCTACTCAGTCTATTTCTCGCGCGGGAGCCCTCGGTCCGAGGGCGGCAGCAATGGTGCAAGGTGGCTCGGCAGGAGGCAACGACACGAAGAAGGGTGGCGGGGACCCCAAGCAGCGTGGGCTACAATCCCTGGGAGGGTACGGTCGGCGAGGGCGGGCGACAAGTGATACTGCAACGCCTGCTCCAGACCAAATTCTGAGGGCAACCGCTGTGTCAACTCCCCGCACCGGAAGTCCTGACTACAGTCAGACTCGATTGGACAGGACACGCGAGAGGACGCAAGACCCTTCAGAGGGCCACATTGCCGCAAGAATGCAGGAAGCATGGGTCGCGAGACACCAGGACACAAGGGTACCCTTGATTTGGCAGGGCCGACCTATTAATCTGGGCCGACTGTAGGATGAGGATGAGGATGATGATGATGATGATGATGATGATGATGAGGGGGAGGAGGAGGCGGAGGAGGGGGGGAAGGAGGAGGGGGAAGGATGATGAGGAGGAGGAGGAGCACTCCTAGACGGACAGGATCGAGAAGCAGGAGCACCCGCTCGGCAAGCAGGAGGAGGAGCCCTGAGGAGGCCCGCGCGCACAGCGAGGCGGTGCAGAGCCGCGGGGGCGGAGCGGGCGACGCCGTCACCGAGCGGGAGCAGGCGGTCAGGCAGCTCGAAGCAGAGCGGCTCGAGACGGCCGGCAAGGCTCCGCGCCTCCCACTGAATGACTCTGGTGTGCTTCAAGCGAGTGTAGGGAGCACGCCTTTGGGGGAACCAGAAGGTACCGATACCGCTGCTCCCCGGACCTCTCCCGGGGAGCGTTCTGACCAGGATGTAGAGGCGAATCCAGCGGTGGCGACGAGGGCTCCCCAGGAGGCCCCCAAAAGGGGAAAACGAGTGAAGGGTAACGGTATGGGTACCTTTTCCTCCTCTGAGCCTTGCTCCGCGGCAGGGCGGCTGGAGGACCTGGCGCTGCCGCCAGGGTACCACGACCCGTGCTCCGGGCAGCGCAGGCCACGCGGGAGGAGCTGCGCCGGGCGGCCGCGGCGACGAGGCCTCGGGCGGGACCAGCAGTTCTCGCCGCTGCAGCGGGGGGCAGCTGACGCGGCAGGAGAAGGGGGCCGCGGAGCCATAGGTATACCCGCAGGGGACGACGCGGTGGATGATGAGAGGCCCTCCTTGGGCCAGCAGAAGCACTGGCTGCGGAAGGCGGGCATCCTCGACTTGCTCTTCAAGCCTGGTGCTCCGAATGGGGCTGCCCCTGGCTTCCTGACGAGGAGGTTCGCGCGGCCTCCAAGCGCGCCTTCGCCTCCGCGGATGGCTTTTCCTCCCTTGAGTGTCACCCGTGCCCGACTTGCTCCATCCACCTGGCGACAAGCACTGCTGGAGTCAGCGGCAGAGCGTGACCTACCTCTTGAGTGCAGCCAATCGCCCGATGGAGGGCCGTGTCCCAGTCAGGTTCGCACAGGGGGGAGCGGGGCATGGGTTAAGAGGCGGCCACGCATCCTCAAGCACTGGCTGCGCAGAAGGCCATGCAGATGTGGGGGGACAGCGGCAACATGGCTACAGGTGGCAGGTGTGCCTGAGGGGGGAAATACAACTGAACAGCCGAGTGTATCCAGCAACTTGTCGTCTCGCTCAACCAGGGCAGATTCGACATCCTCTTCAAGCCTCTAGCCTCCAGGGTGAGAGGCTATGACGAGGTCGAGGAGGTGCCAGATGGATCCCCCGAGGACGAGGCGAGGATTGATGACGAGGAATATGTGGCGGAGCTGGACGAGGCTGGCAGCGTCTACCTCCTGGATGGGGTCGGAGGAGAGCAGTGTGGTCTCGCCTGCTTCACCGCCCAGTGAACCCAGCTCCTCCTCTACTGGCGCTGGAGACGTCGGCGTGAACGAGTCCAAGCAGGACGAGGTGCAGCCAGACGGCCGCCCACGGGGGAGCCGACGATTCGGCTCGAGAGGCGCGTGGGGGGGGTCGGCGCTTCGTGTCGAAAGGCGGAGCCGGGGGGGAGGGAGGGAGGGAGGGAGGGAGGGAGGGAGGGAGGGAGGGGGGGAGGGAGGGGAGCGAGGGGGGGGGAGGAGGGAGGGAGGAGGAAGGGAGGGGAGGGAGGGAGGGAGGGAGGGAGGGAGGGAGGAGGGAGGGAGGGAGGGAGGCAGGACGACGAGGACGAGGACGCGGCGGGCGGCCCCGCTTCCAGCCCCGCCCGCCAGACGCAGCGCTGACAGGGAGGGCAGCCTTCGGTGTGGTGTGTTCCGCCCTGCGTGCAAGGCTCCAGAGGAGCGAGGGAGGAGGAGCGAGGGAGGAGGAGGAGGAGGAGGAGGAGGAGGAGGAGGAGAAGGAGGAGGAGGAGGAGGGGGAGGAGGAGGCGGAGGAGGAGGATGGCGGCGGGGGAAGGATGATGATGATGATGATGAATGATGATGATGATGCTGATGATGATGATGATGATGATGATGGTGGTGGTGATGATGATGCTGATGATGATGATGATGCTGATAATGATGATGATGAGGAGGAGGAGGATGCTGATGATGATGGATGAGGAGGAGGATGAGGAGGAGGAGGAGGCGGAGAAGGAGGTGGAGGAGGAGGAGAGGAGGAGGAGGAGGAGAAGGAGAAGGAGGAGGAGCAAGAGCAGGAGAAGCAGGGGGGAAGGAGGAGGGGGAAGGAGGAGGTGAGGAGGAGGAGACGAGGAGGAGGACGAGGAGAAGGAAGGAGGAGGAGGATCGGATGAGCATGAGGTTCAGGATGAGGATGAGGATGACGAGGAGGAGGAGAAGAAGGAGGAGGAGGAGCAGGCGGAGGAGCAGGAGGAGGAGGAGGAGAAGGAGGAGGAGGAGGAGGAGGACGAGGAGGAGGAGGAGGAGAAGGAGGAGGAGGGCGCGCAGGGTGCAGAGCGGTTAAGAGCGGTGCGGTGGGCGGTGCGCGGCGTGCGGTGCAGTGGGTGCGGCAGGCGGGCAGCCCTGCGGTGCGGTGGTTGCGGTGGGCGCGGCAGCCTGCGGTGCGGCGGGCGGCGGCGTGTGGCCGAGAGGGCGGCCGAGGGGCGCCTGGCGCAAGGGCTCCCGCAGGTGGTCCGGGAGGCGCCCGAGGGACAAAATAATGGGTCTGTTTTCCGCCACCACCACCATCGGTTGGAGGGGAGGGGGTCCTCCTCCTCCTCCTCCTCCTCCTCCTCCTCCTCCTCCTTCTCCTCCTCCTCCTCCTCCTCCTCCTCCTCTTTCTCCTCCTCCTCCTCCTCCTCTTCCTCCTCCTTTTCGTCTTCCTCCTCCTCGTCCTCCACTTCTTCCCCCTCTCCAAACTTACGGTGGTGGTGGTGGCGGTGGAAAACAAGCCCATCACAAAAGGCGGCCGAGTGGCGCCCAGATCCCACAGCAGGCCAGGGCCTGGCGAGCCGCTGCCGCGCGAGGATGCGGGCGCCAGGCGCCAGAGGTGGCACCAGGCGCCCGAGCTGGGCCACCTGCTGCAGTCGGCCTGGCCGCGCTTCTTCTGCAGAAGGTGCGGGGATTTCTCGGCAGGGCATCGGGGACAGCCCAGGCCAAGGGGCTCAAGCAG